GTTCATCTCCGACAGCTCTGGGGGTGGGGGACGGCAGTCCCAGCTCTCCAGGGCTGGTCTCCGCGTGGAGCCCCCACCCAAGCTGAGACCACCACGGGCTGCCTGCCTCCATCCTCCACACGCCGGGCCCTCCTGGTGCATCTGCCCGCTGTGTCCTTGCAGAGAGGGGCTGAGGCCAGAACGCGGCTGCTGGAGAGGGCGTGGCAGAGGGGGGAGTCAGGAGACCCGGCCCGGCTTTCCCAGATGGCTCCCTGGTGCGCACCTTCCCTTTTCCAGCCACACTGCCCAGATGCCCCGGTGGCCGCTGGGGCCTGTGGGACTGGCACCCGGCTCAAAGGACTGGAGCAGAAGTGACGCGTGTCGGCGGAGTGGCAGCTCAGAGGAAGTGTGCTTCCTGTGGCTGAGAGTTGGAAGCAGCAGACACCAGGGTGGGACCTGGAACGGTCTTGAAACACACGTGGGAGCCACAGGTCCCAAGCGGCAAAGGAGCCTGGCTCCACGTGCGGAGCTGCCTCACCACCCTGGGTCACCCTCCTGGACTTGCCGGCTGGACCCGAGGCAGGCAGGAACCTGTCTGTGCTCTCCCGCCCTTATGGACCCACTGACACCTCGAGCCACCTTCCGCCCCTCACCTGTGTCCCAGTCTCCCCAGCAGCTTCCTGCCTTGTCGGTAAGCCCTCGCCCTCCGGAGGCAGGACAGGGGCCTTGTCTGATCACCCTCCGGCCTCGGGCCGAGCACAATGGCCAGTACAGAGCCAGCAGTGAACACATGCCACACCCTATGCTCAATGATGGATGAAGCGTGAGCACATTTGCACACCGAGAAAGGCCGCTGAAGCTGGCACCTGAGCTTCCCACAGCAGCTCAGGCTGGCCCTTGGGAGCAGCAGCGGCGGGTCCCATTTGCCCCAAATTCTGCTTCCCGCGCACCCCGGGCTCCCGGGAAAGCACGAATCTGCATGGCCGCCTACCCCTGCCTCTGCCCCATTCCTCCAGGGCCAAATCCTACTCCAAGGGTCCTGAGCTGCCTCCAAAGGCTCTGCCTTCTGGCCCAGGAAAGACTAGCCAGGAGGGGTGCAAGCATGGCCCAATGGGATGGAGAAGCCTCCCAGACGCTGCACCCGTGGACCCTACCGCTGGGACTCTGCGCCTCATGCTCGTGGGGGACGCAGAACCCAGGCCTCCTGAAGGTGCCTCTGCGATGGCCAGAGAGGAAAGAAGGGGGCACTGGTCCCACTGGCTCCGATTTCACATCCAGTCTAGTCGGGCTCCACCCAGAACTGCTTGGGAAGGATTCTGAGGCAGAAGCACTCTGACCCCTGAGCCTGAGAGGCCAGGCAGGAAGTGCTGAGCGGAGCAGCTGGGAGGGGCTCCCGGAGGACAGGGTGGGCAGCGGGATGGGGTGGAGGCACTCACCAGCCACCGGGCCACACAGCTCACCAGACAGCCTCGCTGGGCCCTGGGCCTCTGCCACCACCCACATGCGGCTCCGCGGCTGGCTGCGGCACCTGGCTCGGCCCGAGCCAGCAGCAGAGGCCACATGCAGAGAAGCGTGCTGCCCATCAGAGAGGGAGGCAGGGGAGGCCAGAGCCTGCTCTGCCCCAGAACCTCCCGAGCAGCAAGAGGGTTCGAGCTGGCGCCATGCTCTGTGGCTGCTTCTGAAAGGTGCACCCTGAGGACAGACACCCCTCAGGCTGTCCGATGACAAGCATTTACTGACCGGCCACAGAACAGCCAGGACAGGGGCAAGTCACGAATCCACGGCCTGGGGTCTACAGTCTGATGGGACAAAGCCTCCACAGGGGACCCAGGAGCCCCACGTGTCCTGCCCCTCCCCTGGCTGCACCCAGCCAGTGAAGTCCCACTGTTCGGGAAGCACGGGAGAGCTCCTCGGCGTCCGGCCGCCTCTCCGGGCCGCCACCACCTACACCGAGGCGAGGGCAGGCGCTCCAGGGACCCCTGACACCTCACGTCCCGTGACACCGCAAGCAGCTGCAATTCAACAGCACGGGGCCACACGAGTCCGAACTGGAGCCAAGCACACGGGTGCACAGATGTCACCCTGGGCACAGGAAGGAAAGGGCACGATGGCAGCACAGCCCCGAGGCAATGTGGCCTGAAGACTCTACAACGACGCTCTGAAAATGGCCTTGCTCAGTTCACGACCTTCGGCCCTGCATTTAAAGCAGGAAGCACGCACGTCCACAGGGTGACACCGTGGCAGCAACAACCGTCGCCTCATGCTCGGGAAGATGCACACACAGCAGAGGAATGGACGGGGAACCAAACGTCGCGGGGTGCGGGGGGGGGGTGCGGCCCGAGAACCACGAGCCGGCCGGATGGCCAGGCCGGAATGCCAGGGCGCAGAGGTGAAAGTCATAGCCCCCCATATGCGCGCAAGGAGGGTGCGCCGCCGTCCCCGGGGGCCAGTCCAGGCTACGGGCAGCGGGGAGCCACAATCTCCCCACAACCAAGCCGTGCAGCCAGCTCTTCCCCGCACGGGGTACTGAGGCGTGAACAGCCAATGCTGAAGTTCAAACACAGCTGGAAATCCAAACAGCTCATCTTCTGCGGGGTCATGAGTGCACGCCTAAGACACATTTCTGAACGCCTCAGCAAACTCAGTGTGACATGCACGCGATCAGCACGAACTCCTGCACGACGGGGGCTCGGACAACGGAGTAGATTCGGCACCAGGACGCTGGACATGCCCACAGTGCGCCAGGGCCCCGTCGGGGCAACGGAAGGCCCGGGCAGACAGTCCTGCTTGCGTTAGGGGAAGCGACTCCGCCGTGCCAACCTGATGTGCGGCCCCCACGCCCTGGGGTCCCAGCCCAAGGGGTGAGACCTCCTGGCAACACGGAGGAACTTGCAGGAGGCTGGCACAGCTAAGTGAGTTCACGGCTGAAGTGATGACCCGCCACCTATAAAGCCACAGGCAGGGGCGCCCACTTGACTCAGGGACGGCACCACACCACAGACCGCACCCCGAGGGGAAGGCAGGTGGGCCCAGGGAAACACTAGCCCTGGCAAGTGGCCACAGGTACTGCCATCAGTTGGCCCAAGGGCCGGCTTTGCTCCTCCTGGATGGACAGACATCTCCACCCACGCACACAGCAGGGCTCAGCTGGCAAACACGAGGCCAGAATCTGCCTGGCACGGTCCTGGCTTCCGGCCACGGGACGCTCCGCTCGGCTTCAGGTGCACAGGACCCTTCTGGAGCGGCTGCTCACACTGACATGCCAGGACGGAAAACACGGTAAGCCCACAATGAACCAGACGCGCGGGGATGGGCCATCCCGAGCGGCCGAGAGCCCACACCAGGCACCCCGACCTCCCGGACAAGCTCCGGCCCGCAGGTGAGGGATGCGCCGACGTCAGTGCTCGCCCGCCGTGGAGGAGCAGGGCAGAGGGGGGGCCTCCTGGGGGGCCTCGAGTTTGACCATGGCCTTGAGGGCCACGCGCCGTCGCTTCACCTGCCTCTGCCTGGCGAACACCGAGCGCAGCGCACGCAGCTGCCCCACCTCCTGCGCCGTGAAGCAGGACTGTCCCTCAGCGAAGCGCACCACGGCATCAAAGGACAAGGCCGCCTGCTCCCAGGCCGCCTCGTCACCATCCTTCTCGGCCTGCTCCGGGCTCCCGGCAGCCGGGGCCAGGCCCTCTCCGGCCACACGACCCAGCCCGCCCCGCTCTGCAGCCGTGCCCCGGGGAAGCCGGCTGCCAGGGCGGGCCGGGGCCTCTCTCCCCAGCTCCAGGATGTGCGCAAAAGTCTGATCGTGAGGCTTCGCTCGGAGGCGCTCTGGCTCCTCCTCCGAAGACGAGCCCTCGGCGAACGTGACCGCGGGCCACAGCTTCCTCCAGGCCCAGCTGAAGACGTCGCGGGGCACGGCACTCCAGGCGCAGGCCACGTTGAAGACAGCATCGTTCATGCTGTAGCGGGGGTGGCAGGCCTGCAGCGGGACGGGGGGGTTGATGAAGTGCCTCATGAAATCTCTCCGAATGCCCTGGTCCATGGGCTGAATCAACGAGGTGACGCTGGCGGGCAGGAAGACGGTGAAGATGTTACCGGAGGCCAGCTCGGACGCCCGCGGGCGGGCACGGGCGTTGTCCAGCAGCAGAATGGCTTTGCTGTCCTCGGGCAGACCCGCTGCCCGGAAGTGTTCCTTCACCGACGGAACGAAGATATGATGGAACCAGTCCGAAAAAATCTCCTTGTCCACCCATGCGTTACCTTGGGCTTTGTAGGCAACAGGCAGGTGCTGAATGCCCCCGAAGGCCCGGGGGCCGCCGCCTTTCCCAATCACCAAGGGCTTGATCTTGTGGGAGCCGGTGGCATTGGCGCACATGAGGACGGTCAGCCTATCCTTGCTCTGCTTGATGCCGGGCACTGTCCCACCTTCCAGGCTGGGATTGGGCAGGCACCGCCAGAAAAGGCCGGTCTCGTCGGCGTTGTAAACCTGCTCAGGGGACAGACCGTGCTCGGCCGTTAGGCTCCGGAAAAAGCCACAGAACTGCTCGGCTGCTCGGTGGTCGGCCACTTGTTTCTCGCTGGACGCGTCCAGCTTCTTAATGCCGTGCCTGGCCTTAAAACGCCAGAGCCACCCGCCAGAAAACACACAGGGCTCCGTTAACTGCATCTGTTCATAGAAGTCCTTGGCCTTCTCGATGAGCATGGGGCCTGAGACGGGCACGCCCTCGGCCCGCTTCCCCAGGAACCACTGGTACAGGACCCGGTCCAGGTGCTCGAGCTTGGGCGTGTGCAGGGTGCGACGCTGCTCCAGGGCCTTGTTGGAGTCTGAGTTGGCAAAGAAGCGCAGCAGCTGCGCCTTGTGGGCCTTGATGTCGTACAGGGTGGACATGCCCACGTTGTACTCCTGCATCAGCACCTTCCTGCTCTCCCCCTTTTCCAGGCGCGTGCAGATGTCAATCTTCTCTTTCAGGGTCAGCACCACCCTCTTGCGCTTCTCCCCTGGGCTCCGCCCAGCGGCCTGCTTGGAGGCCATGGGGCGCAGTGGCTTGTCCCCAGGGGCTGGGGAGGACACACGTGGGAGGGGGTCCTGGCAGACTCCTTGCCTCTCCTCCCCGTCCTCTGCTCCCTCACCGGCCTGTCCCGTTCCACTGATCCTGGGCCACCATGAGCCACAGTTCCTCCTCTGATCCCCCCTCCAGTGCTAGTGATGTTGCCGCCTCCCTGTCTCTCTGCAGGAGAGACGACTCGTGTCACACTGTCCCTGGACGTGTCCACACTGTTGGAACTCCTGACCTTCTCTGAGGGGGACGGTGGCCGCTCCTCCCTTCAAATGTGGACCAGAGCGTCGAGGGGTCCCGGGAGCTGGCTTCCGGCTAAGTGAGGCTGTAGTGTCTCTGCGGGATGCCTCTCCGGGCTCACAGCACTGTCTGACGCCGTGCTTTAGGAACTGGAAGGCAGAACAGGGGAAGAAAGAACATTACGGACCGCGGGCCTGGGCGACCTGCAGGCATGCACTTTTGACTTCAGGTGCACAGGGAAGCTGCAGCAGAAACCACAGTGCTGTAGGGGCAACCAACACGGGAGCTGGCCCGAGCACGCAGCGTCCGGGAGGCTGCCCAGCTGGGCACACGGGCTCTTTCCAGTGACCTCTTGGTCACCACAGCTCCTTCAGGCTGGACAACTCCATCCTCTCCTGACCCTCCCTGCGGCGCTGAGCAGACTTGCAGGGCTGAGACTAGAGGTAGCCTTGCTGGATCCTTCGGGAATCACATCCCCGCCGCACTTTGCCTGCTATGACACCAACATCCTCCAGCCTGTTGCCGGCAGTGACCGGCCCTGCTGGTCTACTCAGTGCAGTGTTTGCTGAGACAGTCCCGTCTCCTCCCTCACAGCCCATGTCCCCTCAGTTCCTTCATGACTTGGCCCCTCCCACCCAGGAGAGATGGCAGATCGCGAGGGAGGCTACAGCCAGCTCACCGCCAGTCATCCCGTCCTGCAATGGAAGGCATGCAGTACTCACAGGTGGGTTCGAGCAACTCCCCACTGCCTCCCACCCAAACCCTTATTTTGGCTGTGTCTTCCCACCTTGTGCAGATGCTGAGGCCACAGGACTACTCATACGTGGAGCATAAAAATGTAGCTCTTTGAGAACACAACTCAAGAGAAATGATGTTTATTCAAATGTAGCAAGAGCTCCAAAGACTAACTCTAGGCCCATCACCAGCCAGCTCTGGGCACATCCTCTCCCCCTTCTGAATCAGCCTCCTGGTCTGCCAGGTGAGCACGCTGCTCCTTTAGGGATCCTATCTTCATTCTCCTTCCAGAGCAGCAATGACAGTGTACTGCTTGACCCTCCCGGCAGCAGAGGGAAGTAAAGGCCACCATGAGAGACTAACTCCAAGCACAGCAGAGAGCAGGAGGGGGAACTGCCCAGAAAGGCCTCCTGCAGTCTCCGCCCCTGAAACGGAGGGTTCTAGATGTTTCCTCTTCCTGACAAGCAGGTGTATGCAAGATGTGTGCAGGGTGACATTCAGTAGTTGAAAACACTGTGGTCCCGCCTGCGAGACAAAACTCCTTTTAAAATTGAAATTCAGATAACCGGATATTCTGAAACAATTTCTTAAACCAAAAGGTCACCTCGTACAGCAAGAGAATTAAGGCGGTTTCTAGCCTTGTGAATTTAACATAAGCACTGAGACTGAGGCCACACGAACACGGGTGTACACACCTCATCCTCCTGTGCGGGAGGGACAGACAAAACACGGGGCGCGGGGGGCATGAAGGGACAGAGGGGGCAGGAGGCAAAGGAGGGCGCGCCCCTTCACATTAGCTCCCTTTCCCCGCGAGGGGAAGCCTGGACCTGAGAAGAGAGCCTGAAGGGCTTAGGAGAAGGAAGCGGAGCAGCAGTGTGAGGGGGGGCAGGGGGGGCCATGAAGGAGAAATACTAAACAAAACAAGTAATTTAGAGACTGAGGCAAACACGGGGAAGAATCCACAGGCAGAGAACGCGTAGGGGCAGGTGCACTGGGACGGGGGGGCGCAGCCTGCTGGGGGGCGTCAGGGGGCGCGGCCTGGTGGGGGGGCGCCGGGGGCGGGAATCCAGGAAGAGCGCCGGGGCGGGTTCTGGGGGGCGCCGGTGGGGGGGCGGCGCCGGTAGCGGGGGGACGCCCGGGCGGGGGGGTCCGGGGAGGGGCGTCAGCAGGCCCGGTTCCGCCCACAGCGCAGGTGCGGGGCCTCCACGGGAACGCCGGGGCCAGGAGACGAGGGCCGGCGTGTCTGGAAAGCGCTTCCTTCCCGGGCCCCACGTCTGGGGGCAGAAGCTCGGCCCGGGGCAAACGCACACACCGGAAAGAAAAAAGGAAAACCGTGCAAGTCCCCGTCCGGCAGGTCCCGGGGCGGGGACCCCGTGACCGACCCTCTCCGCCGACGGGGCCCCAAGGGTCTGCGAGCGGCGGCGGCGGCGGCGCTGGGACGGGAGGAGCCTCCGCCCGGGAAAGCACACACCGCGCGGCGCCCGCCCCCCGGCCCTGCCCCCACTCACCTGCAGACCCGGGCCGCAACCGCCGCCGCCGCCGGAAGTGCCGCCGCTCTCCCCGCCGCCGGTCCGCCCCTGGCCGCCTTCCCCGGGCCACTTCCGGGACGCTCTAGGCAGCCGGGAGGACTGACTCGGCCTCTCGGTGGCCTTGCGGGCAGCCGAGCGCCGCGGCGCGGGGACGGCGGGCGCACCCGCCCGGGAGTCGCGGTTCTTGTGTGAATGCAGCCCTGTGCTGAAGGACTCGGGGCTCTTGTAGTCCCGAGCCAGGGTTGGCAGGAGCGCGGTGATGGGGCCGCGCCCGTTAGTGAAATCCAATGCCAGCGTGTTTTCTTCCCACTGGGCCTCTTACTCAGCTGGCGCCTCATCCACACCTGATGTGCGGGGTTTGGATGTTGACGTGTGAGGCTGTAGAGCTGGTGAGACTTGCAATGGACGTCCAGATGGGAGTCTTTTGGAGACGAGAGTCCAGCCCTGGCGGCTGAAGAGTGCCCCCCCCACGCCCACACCTCCACACCCCCATCCCCAGAATCTAGGGATACGTGACCTCAGGTGGCAACAGGGGCTTTGCAGATGTGATTAAGATTCTTGAGATGGAGAGATCATCCTGATTATCGGGGGCGGGGGGCAGTGTAATCACGGGGTCTAGTAGGAGGGAGGAGGGTCAGGGAAGACTTCATGACCACGGGAGCAGAGGGAGAAAAGGAAATGTGACCAGAGACACGGGTCGGAGTGTGTGATTTGTAGGCGGAGGAGGAGCTGCAAGCCGAGGAGTGTGCATTCTTTCCTGCAGCCTCTGGAAGGAACCAGCGCTGCTGACACCATGTGTGTCACTTTTGGCCACCAAGTGTCTAGTTACTTGTTACATAGCCACGGGGGACTAAAACAGACTTCCGTCGCTCCTTCCCACTCCATTCACTTTCCTCCCCAGGCTCCCAGGGTGCTACCACCCCAGGCCCTCCTTCCATGCACCCCCATGAGGATTCCTGACTGCCTGGGCTCACTCCTTGGCTCTCCCCTCTCTAGCCACACCCACTTCCTGGGTGATCTCGTCTCTGGGCAGTACCAGCACTGGCAGGTCCTGCCAGGACCCGTCTCGGGAACCCTTCCCAGCATCTCCGTGTGCAGCACCTCACGCCCAGCATTTCTAGGCCTGAGCTCAGGACGCCGCCCAGCCTTGCCCCATCCGTGCACTGCCCATCTCAGTGAGTGGCACTGTCATCTTTGCATTCACTCGGGCCAAAAATTCAGTCATGCTTAACTCACGCTGTGCCTTGCGCTCTGATTGACCGGGAGGTCTGCCCAGCTCTGCCCTCCCCATCCGCGCCCCATCTGATCTCCTCACGCCCACAGCTGCTCTCTCCCTGGCCCGAGTCCCCCTGGCCTCCTTGCTTCTGTCTTTGCCCCCACAGCAGCCACCTACTACTGCATGATGAAGCACCCTCAAACTCAGTGGCTCAAGACTAACCACCTTGCTGCACGTGGATCTGTGGGTCAAGAGTTTGGAGGTGCTAGAAGCAGATGTGCTTCACAGAGGAGAAAATTGGGGCCACTGAGCATAACTCAAGGGGGACTGAGCAGGGTCTCTTGGGGCAGCCAGGTGACCCCCCAGGAAGGCTGGCTCCATCCCTGTGGGTGACGGTCTGCTGCCACCTCGTGGACACGGGATTGCATGCACCTCCCCGAACCGGCATGGGGCTGGCAGGGGCCTGGGGTTTGACTCCCAAGATGCATGGGGTTCCCCCAGATGCTCCCATCATCACTCCGAGACCCTTGGGCCGCATCTCCAGGACTGAGCCCATGCTGAGAGAGAAGAAACGGTCAGAAAGAGGAGGAGAACAAAGATGTGGTGTCTCCTAGGGACTGCCACTGAGGACTCCCCTCTCCCTGTCACCCCCCATGCATGGGACCGAGTCCCCAGACCACACCTGCTCACCACGACAGCCTCCCTATCCCTGTTCACAGCCAGAGTGGCCTTGAGAGCGTCAGTCTGAGCAGATCACCCCCCGCCCCACCCCTGGCATCCCAGTGGGCTCCACAGAAAGGTCCCCAGCAGGCCACACCACATGTGGCTCTCCCTGTGCCCTCCAGGCCCACCACAGGAGCCCCTTCTGGACATGTTGTCCCTCAGCCTGCAGGCCTCCACCTGGAGGCAGGACTGGATGCAGCAGAACCACTCACCCGGATCCTGGAGGCCTCAGGTGGGGAAACATCACCAGCCAGTCCCCAGAGCGGGGCTCTTGGAGTGACAAGTCTCTCACAGCAAAGAGGGGGCTTTGGCTCCAGGCTGGGGGTGCTTGTGAATTCCACACCCTCTGGCAGAGGGGTGGCGCTGCCTGAGTGGGCCGGGTCTCCTGGGTTCCCTGACCTCACTCCAGGAGGGAGGAGAGAGGGACAGATCTGAGAGGCACCAGAGGAGGAGGGACCCGGCAGAGGGCTGGAATGGAGGAGGGGTTGGGTTTGGGGCAGAGCCTCCAGTGGTGCTTAGGCCACCTTTGTGAGGACCGGGAAGAGGCCCCTCCTCTGGGGCGCAAGGCCCTTCACAGAATTAGAGATGATCGGGCACGCAGGCTGGCGGTGGGCTGTGGGAGCTTGGCCGTGGTGGGCCAGGGGTGAGAAGCAGGCTCCCAGGGCCCGTCATGGGACTCAGTGCCCCCGATACCCGCGCGCACACGCACACACACACGCATGCACACGCAGAGCTTGCAAGATGCCTGAATTTCAAGAGCCCAAGATGGGAGACCAGGCACTGAGCGTGTTTTCCCAGTTGTCAGTGGTCTGGCAGCATGTGGATGACCCTCTCGATTTTACGAATGCATTTTTCTAAAGGAAAAGGTCTACAGACGTGGAAGGTGAAATCAGTGGTGGTTTTGTATTTAACCTACCATCTTTATTTTTAAATTAATTCTGCCTAAAATATAAGATTCATCCAAAACTGGTGTCCATTCACATAGCAGCCCTGGGAGGTCATGGTCTGTTGCCAAAGACCCTGCACGAGGTGGGGTCAGCGATCCTGCCTCCTCCCAGGGCCTGGCCCTGCCGCTGGTCCCACCAGCCCTGGCTTTCCGGCTTTCCATCCTGGGGAGAAGGGAAATGTGAGCACGCAGGATCTCCAGGGAACCCAACGGGTTGGGCAGGCAGGTGGAGAGGTGAGCGAGAACAGGAAAATCTGGAGCCCCAGAAGGCGACCGCAAAGCAGAGGAGAGGAAAGGGGCTAAGGGTGAGTCATACCAAAGGCACACCCTGACCCCGTCCACTGCAGGGAGAGACTGCAGGGACTCATGCCCCTTAGTGACAGGCCTTCCCAGGAAGTGGGACAGCCATAGGATCCAGGCTCAGTCTAGGCTGAGGGGCTGTATTCAGGATGTGCCCAAAGCATGGGTGATGGGACAGGATGCAGTCAGTGACTGGGGCCAGGTCCTCTGGGTGACCGGGGTCAGGGCTCATTTGGTGAGCAGAGTGAGGGCTCAGACTGTGACCCTAGTGAGGGCTTAGTTTTGGACTAATGTCAGAGATCAGCCTGTGCCAGGGTAGGGGGCAGTTAATAACCGTGTCTAGGGCATTGTGGCCATGGGCTTCAGGATTTCAGCTATGGCTTATAGGCCATGAGCTCAGTCAGCTCGGGCCGCCATAACAAGTGACTATAGACCGGGTGGGTGACAAAAACAACAGAGACCGATTTCTCAGAGCTCTGGAGGCTGAAAGTCTGAGACCGGGGTGCCGGCAGGGTCGGGTTCTGGCGAGGACCCATGTCCTGGACTGCAGACGGCCCCCTTCTTGCTGTGTTCTCACCTGGTGGGGGGAGCTCTGGTGTCTGATCTTATCAGGGCACAAACCCCATCGTGGGGACCCCACCCTCATGACCTCATCTGAACCTAATCACCTCCCAACGGCCCCACCTCCAAATACATCACATTGGGGCTTCAACATAGGAATTGGGGGGACACAATTCAGACCATAGCATTTTTGCCCCTGGTCCCCCAAAATTCATGTCCTTCCCTGCTTGGTCTAATTCTCCGCCTTCCGTCCTCAGTGGGACAGCAGTCTCATCCCCGTGGCTCCTGCCCCTGAGGTTCTGTTCACATCAAGCTGGACGTGTCTCTGTCGTGGGCGCATCCTGTGCAGGATGCTGAGCAGCATTTTTGGCCCGCACCCACTGGAAGGCAGTGGCACCCCCCGATGGGACAACTGACAATGTCCTCAGGCATCGCCAAATGTCCTCCGGGGCCCAGAAGCCCCCCTGCTTGAGAACCACTGCCTCAGAGTCATCACCTCATACCAAATCAGATTAACAAACATCTATGCACCTGTCAATATTTGAAGAATGAAGGTTCCAGGCTGGTGCTAGGTGCTGGGTGCCTTGAATAAAAAGGCAGATAAGAAAGGCTCCAGTCCAGGGCACCCCCAGTCCCAGTGAGCCGGGGGTGGGCCGGCAGGCAGACAGCCATACACTGAAACGGTGAAGTCACAAACATTTTACCACATGAGGCACCTGAGCTGATGGGACTGGGGATGGTGGGCTGGAGTGGGAGTGTTCAGGGAGAAAGTTCTGAGCGGGCAGAGTAGACCAGAAAGGCAGCTGGTGGAGGGACCACATTCACCTCCCCCCCGCCCCATGTGACCTTGAGCAAGGTCCTGTCTGTCTCTGGGCCCCAGGCTCCTCATCTGCCAAAGGAGAGACGCCCTCCACAGGAAAGGGCCCAAACTGGTGGCTGCCAGGAGGCCGTGTAGGAAAGACCCCAGAGGTGCAGCAAATCCCAGGGAGCTCTGGGTCTCACCCCTAGCCCACATCACCATGTTCTCTTGATCCAGGACACTCAGCGTGAAAGGGTTGAAGCTGCCCCCCACCAGGGGCGTCGTTCTGCTCCCCCCACTGCCCAGGAGAGCTGGGAGACGGAGCCCATTTCCCCAGCGAGGGCCTTGCCAGCAACACGCACTTGGCCCTGCCCAGGGGACTGAGGTCAGATGCCAAAGCGAGGTCAGAGGTGCCATCCCAGGGCCAAGTGAGCATCGGGAAGTGAAAGGTGCTCTCTCCACCCCTGGGAGGGGCCTGTCCCCTCCCCAGACACATGGGGTCAGCAGGCGGTGGACGTGGCCTATAGCTGCCAGCACCCAGCGGACACTCCAGGGGTCATGGGGAGACTGCTTACAAAGGGAGGGTCACGCTTAGAGGGACAATGGGGAGCATGAATGGGCCCCAGGCCAAAGCGGCAGGAAGCCCCTGGGCCCCTGGGCTTGGAGGGGTGAGGGGAAGGGACCATTACCCGAGGCTGGCTGGGGCTGGCCCCCAGGACACGGCCAGGCATGGCCACGGCAGCCTCGCTGTTGGGGCGCAGCGGAAGAGATGGCCCAACCTCTGCACCTCCCACCCTCTGGTCTCCAGCCAGTGGAAGCCCTCTGGGATCCTCATGGGATCCCGGGACCCAAACAGGGTGGAGAGTGGGTCTGGGCTGCAGACAATGTCCAGCGCGGTGCCAACCCCCTTCCACCTCCTCCTACAGAGGCTGCCGATGCTTCATTTCCCAGACTCCCTTGCAGCTAAAGCTCCATGGTGTGTGGGGATTAAGGAAAGTCACGAGGGTTAAGCCTGCACCCCAGCGTGCACTTGGACTGTGCCAGCCCTCCTCTGGCCTCCAGGGCACTTTCCAGAATGGTCTCCCCCTGCCCCCCTGCCCCCTGCCCCGAGGCACTTCTCATGTGTGGCCATTCAAGGCCTGTTGCCCCTGGGGGACCAGGAGCCCTGGGAGCAGAGCAGGGCCCAAGGGAGGCTGGCCCTCAAACTTGGCCCCCCCACTCACCCTTCTCTGCCCTCACTGCTTGCTCTGGTGCCTCGGCACCTCGCCCTGGGGTGGCTAAGAAATGGCCCCTGCCCTGGGCAGGCCCTGCCTTCCGGAAGCAGACAGAAAGACAAAGGGAGTGGTGGCGAGCAGCCTGGCAGGGCGGCCGGAGACTGGGATCTACCCGCCCCGGAGTACTTGCTGGCCCCGGGGAACCCGTCCCTGTTGTCAGCGGGTGGTGGAGCCTCCCCCTTGCCCTCCAAAGCTGTATAAAGCCACCCTGAGTCCAGCCCACCGCCACCCGCTGGTGACCACGAAGGCTGTCCTCACCCTGCTGGCCATTGGTTTGGCCCTGCGGCCAGGTGAGACCTCCGCCACCATGGCGCCGGGCCGCGGGAACAGGGCTTGGGGGGACAGTCAGGGGAGACCAGAGGGGCACTCAGAGAGGGGACCACCCAGAAAGACAGAGAGAGGAGGTGGAGGTGGGGGGCGGGGGGAGGGAGTCAGGTGGGAGGTAAGGGAGGCAGCGGCAGGAAGAAGGGGCTTTGGTCCTTGCCCGTGTCACCCCCAGGGCAGCTCCAAGGGCAGCCAGGGTGCAGCAGGGCCTCACCCAGAGGCAGGCAGCACAGGATGGCGTTCTCCTTTACCACCGTGGTGCAGGGCCTGGCTCCTGGAAAGCCACCAGCCGGAGGGATGCACGGGGAGCCTGCAGGGTTGGGGGAGGCACAGGGGCAAAAAGCCTCGAGGTAAGAAGGGCCACAGAGGCGGGGAGGGCAGCATGAAAGGGGGAGTCTGGGGGTGTCCTGGGAGCACCTGGGGCCTCTCCCCAGGCCCAGCCCTTGGGTCCACTGGGGGCAGCAAGGACAGCGGACACCCAGGCTGGGGTCCCGGGGAAGAGGTGCGGGCCTCGGCCGCTCTAGCCTGCACTCCAAGCCCAGCTCGGTCTCACTAAGTCTCTTAGAGCCTCAGCTTCCTCTTCTGGAAAGTGGGGGGTCATGACAATGACCCCCAAGGCTGCTGGGGGCCAGCTAGTGTGTGTGGTGACCGAGCACGGGACTAGCAGCATGGGGCCTGCTTACGCTCAGGTGACTTTATCCCATCCCATCATTGTTTTGACCAGAAGGGACCTTATCATGCCGGCTGGTGCCATTACCCCGGGGGAACAGAGCAGGGCCTGGCCAGGGGCCCACACAGGGTCTCCTGGCACTGGGGAGGCCTGGGCGAGGCTGGGAGGCTGGGTCGGGCTTGCACAGGCTTTTAGAGACAGTGGTGGAAGGGCCTCGATGCCTGGTGGCAGGAGCAATTCTGGGAAGGGTCCTGTCCACCCTGCCTTCACCTGCCCAGTGCCCAGCTGGGCCGCCTGCCAAGTGGGGGGAACCAGTTTGCAGTCACTCCCTTCCATCTCAGACCACAGGCATTTGACAGAGGGGTGGGCTGGGGCACTAACAGTGGGTTCCAGGGGCCATGGCAGCAGGTGGGCAGAGAAGTGTTCCTGGTGGACTTTGATGAGTGGAGTGCCCTCCCTGGGCACTAGTGCTCCCCACTAACAGGGGGTCCCAGTTTGCAGTGGGCTCTTGTGCTCTTGCACACTCCCAGCAACCTGGAAGCTGTGACAGATGGGAAAACGAGTCTGCTTCCCCACTCTGAGCACCCACCCCCCCCGCACCGCCCTGCAGTGCTTCTCCTGCAAGGCCCAGGTGAGCAACCACGATTGCCAGCATGTGCAGAACTGCACCAGCTCCGAGACCTACTGCTGGACCGAGCGTAACCGTGAGTGGCCCTGCCGTCCCCACAGACCTCCCCGTGACCCTGCCCAGATTCCCCCAGGGCTGGATGGGGCTCTGCCCAGCCTCTTGCCATTCCCTTTGACTCCCTGCACCTTCCCACCCCCTGGTAGGGACTCAAAGAACCTTCTGTCCACCTGCCCACTTGTTCATCTATCCACCCACAGATACAGGTGCTCAGCTTCCCATCCATTCATCCCCCCACCCATCCCTTCTCTGTCTGTCCATCCATCCCCGCTCCATCACTCATCCATCCACCCATCCATCCCCCCTCCATCACTCATCCATCCACCCATCCATCCCCCCTTCATCACTCATCCATCCATCCATCCATCCATCCATCCATCCATCCATCCATCCATCATCTCCCCTCCATCACTCATCCACCCACCCATCCATCCATCCATCCATCCATCCATCCATCCATCATCTCCCCTCCATCACTCATCCACCCACCCATCCATCCATCCACCCACCCATCCATCAGTCATTCATCCATCCCTGCATTCACCCATTCATTAGGCATTTTTAGTGCCCAGCAGAAGGTCTGGCTGCCTTGGGCATGTGGATGTGGATGAGCCCCTGCACTTGCCCTGACACTGCAGTCTTGAGGTCGTCACCCAGAGTGACTATAGACTGGTAGTTAGGGGACAGAAAGAGGGCCATGGGAGTGGGGACAAGGCCAGTGGGTGAGTATCCAGGACCCAGACCCAGCTGAGCGTCCCGACTCCCAGGTGCTGTTGGCATCGAGACAGTCATTAGCAAGGGCTGTCGCTCACACTGTGTGGAGGACTCGCAGAACTACTACATGGACAAGAAGAACATCACGTGTTGCTCCACTGACCTGTGCAACACCAACAGGGCCCACGCCTTGCAGCCAGCTGCTGTCACACTCACACTGCTCATCACTCCTGGTGGCCTGCTGCTCTGGGGCCCCAGCAGGCTGTAGGATCCGGGAGGACCCCACTGTGACCCACACGGGCTCTCGGTGCCCAGGGGCCCCGGAGCACTCTTTGCACACACCTGGCCCAGTTGAGGCCCCTCCTAGACCCCAACTCAGGTGGCCCATGCCCCTCTGCCCTTTCCAGCCTTCCATGGCTCCCTCCAGAAGCCCTGCCCAGCTCCTACTGCTCAGTAGGCTGGGTTCTATTGATGTGGCACTGTTCCAGGTCAATAGAACCCAGCCTGCACGCAGTCCATCCAACCCCCTTGTTGCAGCCTACTCCTTAACCCTTGCTCAGGCATCTCTTCCTCCAGGAAGCCTTCCCTGCCCCACCCCCTCCATCAGCTGAGCCATGTTCCACCCATGGTGTCCCCTGCAACCAGCAAGGAGCAGGCACTCAGGAGGGCCCCATGAAGGCAGAGTAGAATTAGGGGCAGGGAATGTGAGGTCCCACAGGCCCAGAGATGAGGTGTGGAGGGGGGTCCAGCTCCCCATAGCCATGGGAGTCCTGGGGCAGGAATCCCAGCACCCAGGAGGCCCTTAATAAAGTCCCCCTGACCTGGTGGCAGAGAGCTCTGTTCTTGCGTGTCCCCAGATGGAAGTCAGGGTTGGGGTCCAGGGCTGTGCTGGGCAGCCACACTGGAGTCCCAGGGTCACCCCATCGGAACGGTAGAGTTCCCCGCCCTGAGTGCTGACTCTCCCCCACTCCCTTCCCAGCCCAGGTGCCCAGCTCCTGTGGAGGAGCTGTGGGCTCTGGCCTCTCCCACGACGCCCCTCTGGGGCCCAAGCCACACTCAGCACACAGACCTGGCTTGGCTCCAGTCCAGGGTCCAGTGTTCAGGGCTGGGCCTTTGTTTCCTGGGAGGGCACCCCAGAACTGGGCGGCCCTGGGCAGAGCATTAGGCCCATCAGGGTCTGGGCTGGGCTGGAGCTTGGAGCCTGAGGACTGGTGGGCACTCAGGACTGGGCTTCTGGTGGTACTGTGTGCCCTGAAGCTGTGGGGCCCAGACTCATCGACCCTGCCCAGGTGACCATAGAGGACACCGGGGACATCTGCCCAGAACAGACACCTACCATGTTCCAGGCACTGTTCCAGGCACACCAGAAACAGCAGTGGCCCGGGCTTGGATGGATTCTCCCCGACCTATCTTGATGCCCTAGAGCCACCCCAGGTCACGGAGCTTACAGGACAACGGGGTTAGGTGAACAGGATAAACAGAGAAATATGTAGCATGTTAGCAGAAGAAGCTTGAAAAAGCACAGAGAGAGGATCACAAACAGCGGTGTGGCTGGAAGGCCTCTGTGGGGCCTGGAAGTCCAGAGGGACGGGCCACACAGTCCACTGAGCAGGGCAGGGAGCCTACAGTGGCCCACACGTCAGCTACACCCTTGGGCAAGGGTCCTCCTCCCTGGGGCTGAGACTCAGGGCGGTGAGGCAGTGCCCCAGACCCCCACACCCTGTCCTGGGCTCCTGGGTTTGAAATACTTGGGCCAGGGTGAGGGGAGAGGGCAGGCAGGCCCTGTGATGTGGGAGGCCCAGCTGGGTTCTCCATGTCCTGGAACCAGGGGATCCTCTGACCTCCTGAGCTGTCCCCAAGTTCATGCAGCCTCAGGCTGAGAGCCTGAGGGGGGCCAGCCTCCCCCGCCCCCCGGACAACAGAAGGAGGGGCAAGAGCCCCTCCCAACACAGCACGCTGGGGCAGTGGTCCTCCAGGACCGAGGGCCGATGGGGGCTCCTCCTCTTGGGGTGGGGACAGCAGGGGGGGCCACATTCCTTTACATTTGCGACTCCTCTCCTCCATCCCTGGCGTTATTTGCTCCCTTTGCAAAAGGACCAAGGATGGGAATGCTTGGGAATGAGTCTGAGATTACCAGGACCCGGGGGGTGGGGTTAATGAGGTTACAAACTGGAACTGAAAAAGCCACAGGGGCCAGACCGTGATGCACCCTGAATCCACCGCAAAGGCACGGGGGCGGCCGCCCTGCCGAGGTGGGGTACCCCTGGATGTTCTGGAGCATCGGAGGGTCGATTTCCAGGGGAATCTTGAAGCAGTGCCGCTGGGGACAGCTGCGTCCGTTTCTCTTGCAAAGCCCTGCCACCTGGACCGGGAAGTGCGGGAGCCTCTGATTTTGCTCAGATCAGTGATCGAATCTCCCAGGCCAGGCCGAGTCTTCAAGGGCCTGGGAGAGAGGCAGGAGGGGCTCGGGCTCCCAACCAGGCGGGGGTGTAAGGGGTGGGGGGAGACGCGGCGGATCCACCCGGACGCTTCCGCGCCTGCAGTGCGAGGCGCAACCGCCAGATGGCGCTGTGGGCGCGGCGCAAGGCGGAAGCAAAAGTGGGGCGGGACGCGGGCGGACGTGGGGGGGAGGACGGACCACTGAGGGCGCGGAGCCGGGGGGCG